GATGGTTAATGGTCTCGAGGCGGGGATATTAACCTGGATTGTCCAGGAGGACTCAATATGTCTTTAAAAGTAGACAACCTCTCCCACTGTGGTAAGAGAAAGGTAGACCATGACATCGGCCAGAGATGGTGTGTTGTTAGTTTTTCAAAGATGCAAGAAGGGGCTAAGCATCAAGAACACAGGCCGTCTCAAGTTGGAAAAGGCAAAGGAGCCAACCCTCCCCCAGATGTTCAGAAAGGAAAGCGGTCACGGTCTCACCTAGATTTTGGCCCAGCGAGACATTTAGTCTATAGAGGTGTAAGAAAACAAGTTAGTGGTTATTTGTTTTGGTGACAATAGAAAATTAATGTAGGTAAAAGGTGTTCTTTCTCTAGCAGAAAAAGATGCCAGAAGACAAACTTCTCAAGTCTTTACAGGTGAGAAGAATTCAGCATTTCAATGATTGTGGAATTTTATTTTCCAAACTTAGATATTAAACTCCTTAACACACACACACACACACACACACAAACACAACACTAACATAGGAAGCAATGGCGGATTTTACAGTGATTGTCACATGGTATGAATTCTACTTTCTTAATGTTGATTTTTTTTTTTTGGAGATGTAATTCAAATAGCATAAATTCACCCTTAAAAATATTCACCTTAAAGACCTATCAGTGACTTTTAGTGAATCCACAATGTGTAACCATCACCATTCTTTAATTCCAGATTAGTTTCAGTATCCTCCAAAGCAATTCTGTTGCCATTAGCAATCACTCTATGTTCTCTCCTCCACCCATCTGGCAACCATTAACTTATCTCCATGGGTTTGTCTCTTCTGAGCATTTTATACAAATGAAGTCATATACAAATGGCTTAGTGTGATCAGCATCTTTAACATGATTTTGTGCTTCATCCAAGTTGTAGTGTGTTTCAGTGCTTCTTTCCTTTATATGGCCAAATAATATTCCATGGTTAATGTCATCAGTAGATGGACATTTGGGTTGTTCCCACTTTTGGCTATTGTAAATAATGCTGCTGTGGACACATTCGTGTGTAAGTTTTCATTTGAACATATGCACAGTGAGTAGAATGAGAACTTTATGTTTAACTTTTGGAGGAAATACCCAAGTAGTTACACCATTTTAAATCCCCACCGGCAAATTATGAGGGTTCCAATTTCTTGGAGCCCTGGCCAGTATTTACTATTCTTTTTTATTTCAGCACTCCCAATGAGTAGGGGATATCTCACTGTGCTTCTGGTTTGTATTTTCCTAATAGCTAATGAAGCTTAGCACCTTTTCATATGTTTATGAGTCATTCTTTGGAGAATGTCTATTCAAATCCTCTCATTTTAAAAAAATTGGGTCATCTTTTTATCATTGGGTTGTAAGAGTTCTTCTGGATACTAGGCCTTTATCACAGATATGACTTGCCAGTCTTTTCTCCCATTCTGTGAGTTGTCTTTACTTTTTTTGAGTGTCCATTGAAGACTGTAGGGTAAATTAGTTAAAAATCAGGCTTTATTTCACCCTCCTGACATTAGCCTTTGTGACTGGTACCCATGGTCTTGCATGTCTCTACGATCATGGACACCTGTGCTGAAGGGCAAGGGGATACATGGATAGTGTCATTTTGAGATCTCAAGAGAAGCCGGCCAGAGAAATACTGAGAGAAAAAGTTGGTCTGTTCTAATTCAGCATTAAAGGTCTGTAAAATATACTAAAACCTCAAAAATTATCTTTTCATCCACAAGAACTGACAAAGAGCCCACCCAGCCTGGGATGGTTGCAAAACCAAGCTGGTTTGACAAAAATTCAATTGAGCACTTTTTGTTTGTCTTCTTGGTGTCACATCTAAGAAAGTCATTGCTTAATTCAAGATCATAAAGATTTATGTCTATGTTTTCTTCTAGTAGTTATGTTTTGCTCTTATATTAGGCATTTGTTCCATTTGAGCTACTTTCGTAAATGCTGTAAGGCAAGGGTCTACATTCTTTTGCATGTGGAGATCCAGTTTTTCCGGCACCACTTATTAAGAGACTATTTTCTCCTGCTTAAATGTTGCAGAAAATCCACTGACCACATATGGGCTTATTTCTGTACTGTCAATTCTATTGACTGATTGGCCTATTTACCTATCCTTAAGTAGATTGCATTAAAAAATATCTCCATGGCTGACCTAAGGAGACTGAACTAGAAGGCAAGGGTGAAACCATGCTGGTCTGAGGGGGCTACCATAGTTGGAATGGTCCAGACATGTTGTTGGCTTAGAGTTATAGTGGTAGTCATAAAAAGGAGATAAATCTCTGACTTTTGGGGATAGAATCAACAGGATCTACTGATAATGTGGGACTTTAGGGAAAGGGGAGATACAAGGATAATTACTAACTTTAGGAACAGGCAACTGGATGGGTAAAGATACAGTTAACTAATAGGGGAGGTTGAAGGAGCAAAGTTTGAGGAATGAGGGTCTGCAAAGGAGGGCTGTGTTTTGATCAGTTTCACTTGTGATACTGCTGAGCTACTCAAGAGGAGGCATCAGGCAGGCCGTTAAGCTCGGCATGAACTCAAGGACATGAACTCAAGGTTGGAGATAAACAATATAATAGTGATGGGAAGTCTTGGGCATAGAGACAAGTTGTGAGCCCTGAGGAAATCACCATGAGACTATGTTGACAGAGAGGGGTCCAGGGCCATGGACTTGAAAAGTGACTGTTGAGGAGACTGGGATCAGTGGGGAGGAATCAAGAAAAAGAGTTTGAAAGAGTAGTCTGTCAGAAATGCTTCTGAAGCAAAGCAAAACCCAGAAGTGGATTGCAACACCCAAAAAGTGGATTTGGCAATATGGAGATCACTCAGCAGAGGGAAGAGAAGGTTGGGAGAGAACTGTGGAGGTAAAGAAGTGGAAGTAGAAACCACAAACTCTGACATTTAGTCATGAAGGAGAGCCAAGAAGGTGCTAAAAGAAAAGGTGTATCTCCAAAGAGGAAATGCAGACAGCCAACAAGCATATGAAAAAATGCTCAACATCACTTGTAATAAGGGAGACGCAAATTAAAATCACAATGAGAGACCACCTCACCCCAGTGAGAATGGCACATCTTCAGACAACTAGCAACAACAAATGTT